TTGTTGGTTGAATTTTGATATGTTTGTTGATTTGTTTTTTTAAAACTACTTTCTATATATTTTATATATTTATAGTTATAATAATTTGCAAAAATACATCAAAAATGTTTGAATAAAAGTTTTGAAAAATATAATAAATAATTAAACTTTTTACTAAATTTTACAAGCTACTGCATAATTTTGCTTGTCTTTTTTTCAACACAAAAGAACTAATTAAATAATATTTTTTTTTTTCATAAGTGGTTTGTAACTCATTTTAGTTCAATATATTATTTACATTTATTTAGTTTTTAATCATAATTGTTTCGTTTGGTATACACAGCTGTTTTTGTGTGGGTTTTTTTAAATAGTGTAATATTTTCATTTTTAATTTAAATATAATTTGTGTTTCTCTAACATTTACATTTAATATATTCTTTTATAATTCCTCAAATATTTAATATTTTTGTTTTCAAATAACATTTATATATATTTTATTCTGATGCTTATTAGTTTAAGTGTTATTTTAGTAACAGTTAAGGATTTTTGTTGATATGTTTTGGTTTTTTCTTTAAGGATTTTTGGTTTTAAAAACTACTTTGCTAAATTGTTTTTATGTTTATTTTTTAATTTATGCTGTTTAGGTACTTTTAACTCTTTATTTATATTTCAAGTAAGTTTTATTATTATATTATTTTTTTTTTAATTTTTATTTTTCCAAGTCATAATGCTGTTGTTTGAATTTTAAAATAGTTTTTCTTTTTAACATGTGCAGTTTTTTTAAACAATATATTTCTTTATAAATTTTTAAGTGGGGTTTGTTTCCTTTCTCTGAGTTTCGTTTTTATTTCATGCTTTTGACCATTTTTTAGGGGCATTTCATTTGTTTATAAAAATAACTTTATTTATGACTTTTCTTTACATTCAATTGCCTTTTCTAAGAAATATTCCTTTAACATTTTTGTTGATAATTAATAATTAAATATATTTCTGTAGTTATAAATAATTGATAATAATAGGTACCTACTAGATTTATTTTGATATGTATCGTTTGTTTTGGTTTTCTTTTAAGTCTACTTTCATAAGGAAAATTTTTATCACGACATTTAGAGGTTAGAAAATGTTACAGAAAATTGTTGGTTTAAAGAAAAGAACTAAAACAGTACAATTTAATAGTTAAAAGAGTAATATTAAATGTAGTTTTACAAAAACTGTGGTTCAAAACGTGAAATAATATTTAAAAAAGTATCTTCATGGTATTTTTGAAAAAATAATTTTAGAATACTTTTTAAAATATACACTGAACTAGAACTAAACGAGAACATAACTGGAACATAACTGGAACAAAACTAGTACTGAACTAGTACTGAACTAGAACTGAACTAGAACTGAACTAGAACTGAACTAGAACTGAACTAGAACTGAACTAGAACTGAACTAGAACTGAACTAGAACTGAACTAGAACTGAACTAGAACTGAACTAGAACTGAACTAGAACTGAACTAGAACTGAACTAGAACTGAACTAGAACTGAACTAGAACTGAACTAGAACTGAACTAGAACTGAACTAGAACTGAACTAGAACTGAACTAGAACTGAACTAGAACTGAACTAGAACTGAACTAGAACTGAACTAGAACTGAACTAGAACTGAACTAGAACTGACTAGAACTGAACTAGAACTGAACTATAACTGAACTAGAACTGAACTAGAACTGAACTAGAACTGAACTAGAACTGAACTAGAACTGAACTAGAACTGAACTAGAACTGAACTAGAACTGAACTAGAACTGAACTAGAACTGAACTAGAACTGAACTAGAACTGAACTAGAACTGAACTAGAACTGAACTAGAACTGAACTAGAACTGAACTAGAACTGAACTAGAACTGAACTAGAACTGAACTAGAACTGAACTAGAACTGAACTAGAACTGAACTAGAACTGAACTACACTGAACTAGAACTGAACTAGAACTGAACTAGACTGAACTAGAACTGAACTAGAACTGAAATAGAACTGAACTAGAACTGAACTAGAACTGAACTAGAACTGAACTAGAACTGAACTAGAACTGAACTAGAACTGAACTAGAACTGACTAGAACTGAACTAGAACTGAACTAGAACTGAACTAGAACTGAACTAGAACTGAACTAGAACTGAACTAAAACTGAACTAAACTGAACTAGAACTGAACTAGAACTGAACTAGAACTGAACTAGAACTGAACTAGAACTGAACTAGAACTAGAACTGAACTAGAACTAGAACTGAACTAGAACTGAACTGAACTAGAACTGAACTAGAACTGAACTGAACTAGAACTGAACTAGAACTGAACTAGAACTGAACTGAACTAGAACTGAACTAGAACTGAACTAGAACTGAACTAGAACTGAACTAGAACTGAACTAGAACTGAACTAAAACTGAACTAAAACTGAACTAGAACTGAACTAGAACTGAACTAGAACTGAACTAGAACTAACTAGAACTGAACTAGAACTGAACTAGAACTGAACTAGAACTGAACTAGAACTGAACTAGACTGAACTAGAACTGAACTAGACTGAACTAGAACTGAACTAGAACTGAACTAGAACTGAACTAGAACTGAACTAGAACTGAACTAGAACTGAACGAAACTGAACTAGAACTGAACTAGAACTGAACTAGAACTGAACTAGAACTGAACTAGAACTGAACTAGAACTGAACTAGAACTGAACTAGAGCTGAACTAGAGCTGAACTAGAACTGAACTAGAACTGAACTAGAACTGAACTAGAACTGAACTACAACTGAACTAGAACTGAACTAGAACTGAACTAGAACTGAACTAGAACTGAACTAGAACTGAACTAGAACTGAACTAGAACTGAACTAGAACTGAACTAGAACTGAACTAGAACTGAACTAGAACTGACTAGAGCTGAACTAGAACTGAACTAGAACTGAACTAGAACTGAACTAGAACTGAACTAGAACTGAACTAGAATTGAACTAGAACTGAACTAAACTGAACTAGAACTGAACTCGAACTTAGCTTGAAAAAAAATGTTATACCACAGTTCTTGTAAAGAAAAGCTTTATGGTGATCTCAAAGCTTTCAATAGTAAGGGTCAGCTTTAATTACTCTTTTAAGTAGTAAATTTTAATTAAAATATAAATATAAAAAAAAAAATTAAAAAATCTAAAACATATTAGAACTTTGTTTATCCCAGTGCTACTAGGTTTTGCTAGGAAACCTATAATATTTTTTTTTGTAAATAAAAATAAATCCATTTTACTTTCATGCAGAGATTTTTTCGTTTTAATTTTTATTATTTTTTTGTAATAGTTTTTTATTTATTTTAATAAACGTTTTATTATATATATTTTGCAACAACATTTAAAATACTTTTCAAAAAAATTTATAATATTTTTATTTTTTTCTAAAAAAAATTCTATAGTTTTTATAATAAATTGATATGTAAGTGATTTTTTGTTTGTTTATATTTCTAGTTAAATATTTTTGTTGTCTATTTAACACTTAATTAGTTTTTTTTATTTTTTTAATAATATTTATCATTGTTTAGCAACAAATATTTGCCAGGACTTAAAGACTATATTTCAAAATTTTTTTTTATTTTTTTTTTTTAATATTTTATTAAAATAGTTTTTAATACGTTACTTCAGTAACGTTTCGCGAGTTTTTGCATAATATTTTAAATATTTTTTTTAACTGGGATTTGAAATCTTCTTTTTGTTAAAAGGTACTTTGATTGGTACTTAAATTTAGCTACTTTTTACCAAAAGTACTTTTTGTATTTTTGAAATTTTGCTTAAAATTTTGAAATTAATCCCAGTTAAAGAGTTTTCTTCATATTAATATTGTGGTAACGCTTTTAAAACTAGTTTTGCTTTTTTTAACATATTTTAACTTTTATTTAATATTAATATTTTTGAAATATTTTCTAATTTTTTTTTCATAATTTGAATAATTTTTCAACAATTATCATAGATACGGCATGCTATTCCTCTCTCTTTTTGTTAAAAAAAATTGTTGTTGTATTTTTTCTTCTTTAAAAAGGGAGTGTGTGTAAAACTTATTTCCATTTTTAAACTAAAAAAATATTTAAACATTTCTTTTTTATATATAATATTTCATTTACATTAATTTTTAGCTGCAGGGCTTTAAGGGGGATTTTCTAATACTACATTTTGTTTAATTAATATTTAAAATATATATTTTTTTTTCATATATATCATTACAACATTTCCTTTTTTATATATCATCTGGAAGGTTTAGTACTGATAGCTTTAAGTTGTTGTTTTTATTTTTCTTTTTTTTTTTAATAAATTGTGTGAGATACAGTTTATTTTCCATAAAGGAAACACATTAAGAGAAAACCTTTTAGTTTAAAAATTGTTTTTTTATAAAAAGAAAAGTTTTGAAAAAACACTTAATTTAAGAAAGTGCTTAAATTGTTTAATTGTTGCTTGTCATTTTTTTTTTAATTATATTTTTTTTGTAAAACATTTTTTTCATTGTTCTAGCCGATCCTGCTTCCGCATTTTAGTTAAATTTACACATTGTTTGTTTTTAATATTTTTAATGTTGATATTTTCATATTTTGCTTTTGAATTTACGCAAATGAACTTAATTTTTGTATGAAAACTTTTAATGAAAGACAACTTAATATAAGAAATTTTTTGTTCATGAAATAGAAAACTTAAAATTTAGAAGCTTTAGAGAGCGGCAGAAAATGTTTTTGTTTTTTTAAATATTTTTTTGTAATTTTTATGATTTTTTTTATAAAAAAGGAGAACAAAAAAACTGAAAAATAAATCATAATTTTTTTCATGATATTGCTACGGTTTGTTTGTGAGTGTTTGAGTGTGTAATATTACTATTTATATTTACTCACTCTCTTTTCAATAGTAATTTTCATAGGGAGTGCCTAAATATGAATAGAAACTGGGATTGATGGGGAGAGAATGTGCATAATAAAATCCAGAAGCCGGATCTGGCGCTACTCAATCTAAGAAACCGGTATTGACTAATTTTTCCAAAAAGAACTTAACATCACCCAGTTCGGAGTCTTTGATGCCCAGAGATTTCAACATGCCCAAGTCACCATTTTCCACAGCCATGAATACTGAGCGCAAATGTTCCAAATCGGAGCTGTAAAGTAAAGCAAATAATTATTCTCATAAACTGCCTAAAAGTATGCTATAGATATATATTGTCTCTCTTAAGTAAAACCAATACAAAGTATTGGATGTAGGAAAAAGTTTAAGGTCTCTCTGAAAGAACCAAATTATATGTCATTTCTTTAAAACTATTAAGAGTTGTAGCAATTTGTTTGTCTATTTTTCCACCTTTTAATATATTTGACATTCCAATACTTTTATTTACCCCTAATATTTCATATACATATGTATGCACATCTTGAACTTAATTTAATTGCTTTTATGAGCCTTTAGTATGTGTTTATTTGCTTTTGGCCATTCATTATTTAGCCTCCAAGCTGTTGTTGTACACAATATTTTATTGCCATACTCATTGCCTTTTTTTGTGTCAACGTTGCAATTATTTTGCCAACCCATTTTATGGTTGTCATGTTTTAATCTAATAGAAACTGTAAGTTTAAAAACGACCTTAAGCCAGAAATTAAAGCAAAAAGGTTTTAGGTTATTAAATATTATTTTAAAATTCCAAGAAACATTTGTATGCGGTTAAAATGTGACAAGAACTTTAAATTCAGCCAAATATTTAAACCCCATAGGAAATTTCCAGCAACAGTTAAAAACAAATTTTGGGTAAATTTCTAAATGTATAGTTTTTTCATGTTCGGATCTAGTTCATGTTCAGTTCTAGTTCAGTTCTAGTTCAGTTCTAGTTCAGTTCTAGTTCAGTTCTAGTTCAGTTCTAGTTCAGTTCTAGTTCATTCTAGTTCAGTTCTAGTTCAGTTCTAGTTCAGTTCTAGTTCAGTTCTAGTTCAGTTCTAGTTCAGTTCTAGTTCAGTTCTAGTTCAGTTCTAGTTCAGTTCTAGTTCAGTTCTAGTTCAGTTCTAGTTCAGTTCTAGTTCAGTTCTAGTTCAGTTCTAGTTCAGTTCTAGTTCAGTTCTAGTTCAGTTCTAGTTCAGTTCTAGTTCAGTTCTAGTTCAGTTCTAGTTCAGTTCTAGTTCAGTTCTAGTTCAGTTCTAGTTCAGTTCTAGTTCAGTTCTAGTTCAGTTCTAGTTCAGTTCTAGTTCAGTTCTAGTTCAGTTCTAGTTCAGTTCTAGTTCAGTTCTAGTTCAGTTCTAGTTCAGTTCTAGTTCAGTTCTAGTTCAGTTCTAGTTCAGTTCTAGTTCAGTTATAGTTCGTTCTAGTTCAGTTCTAGTTCAGTTCTAGTTCAGTTCTAGTTCAGTTCTAGTTCTAGTTCAGTTCTAGTTTCAGTTCTAGTTCAGTTCTAGTTCAGTTCTAGTTCAGTTCTAGTCAGTTCTAGTTCAGTTCTAGTTCAGTTTCTAGTCAGTTCTTCAGTTCTAGTTCAGTTCTAGTTCAGTTCTAGTTCAGTTCTAGTTCAGTTCTAGTTCAGTTCTAGTTCAGTTCTAGTTCAGTTCTAGTTCAGTTCGTTCAGTTAGTCAGTTCTAGTTCAGTTCTAGTTCAGTTCTAGTTCAGTTCTAGTTCAGTTCTAGTTCAGTTCTAGTTCAGTTCTAGTTCTAGTTCCGTTCTAGTTCAGTTTCTAGTTCAGTTCTAGTTCAGTTCTAGTTCAGTTCGTTATAGTTCAGTTCTAGTTCAGTTCTAGTTCAGTTCTAGTTCAGTTCTAGTTCAGTTCTAGTATCCGTCTAGTTCAGTTCTAGTTCAGTTCTAGTTCAGTTCTAGTTCAGTTCTAGTTCAGTTCTAGTTCAGTTCTAGTTCAGTTCTAGTTCAGTTCTAGTTCAGTTCTAGTTCAGTTTTAGTTAAGTTATAATTTCAACAGCAAATTTAAAAAAAAAAATACTAAAAATTTGTTTTCTAAATGAAACTGCTCTAATAATTCCTTTATTGGGACATATTGTCCTTGACCTTGATAATCTACATATTTTTTTTTCTTTTGTACAAAAATTTAATATTTTCCATCTTTAAATAAACTGCACTTCATTAATGATAAATTAAGTGGTTTGTATTAACAACAAAATGTATTGTAAACAAAAAAGTACATAAAATTTAAATGCAATTTAACAGCATGTGAATGGATTATTTTACAAAACCACAAGAACCAACCTAGTGTGAATTTATTAAATTCTAAATAAATACTTACATATTTAAATTTTGCTACAAAAAATTAAAGCACAAAAACAAGTACATTAAAATTAACAATATTTAAGTAGCTTTAACTAGCAAATACAGTTTAGGATACATATAAGAGAATACATATGTATGTGCTTGGTTTTTTTTTCTTTTATTCTAAAAGTTTTAGTCTCTGAAGTATTTTAAATATTTATATGGCCCCAAAGTTGGAGAAAACAAGCAGTCAAACAACTAGTTATTAGCTAAAACAAAAAAAAATTAAGCTAATGGCAAGAGTTGTTATGTTTGAAAAACAACTCTTAAGTTTAGAGCTTAAATTCTAATGTTCATGTAAAAGTATGACAAAATTTAAAACATTTTTTTTTTGGATCTTTAACATTTGAACCACATTTAAATCTGTTCTAAGTGCTATCTTTTGTCAACCACTAATACTTTGATATGTTTTTTTTGTGTAGGTATTCCCACACTACTAGAACTAGTGCTACTTACCGCATAAATGTAGTGCTGCACCAAAATCTTCTATAGTCTGAGATTCACTTAAAGCAATGGCGACCTTTTCCACACCGCCCAAGGGTGAGAGAGCATCACGAGCTTTGCTGCCGAAAAGTTTTTTCCAAATAATTGGGACCATGTGAGGCCAAAAGACTTTGCAGGAATGAGGCGGTTTCTTCAACAGGTGGTCGTTTGGCTGGAAGAAGAATACCAGAGATGGGGGGTTGTTAAACTTAGTATAACTTTTTAAATATTAAAGACACAATTTATGTGGTTTTATGTTGTTTTAAAACTTATATGGTAAATTGTGATTTATGTTAATAACTGTATAACAATGTGTAAAACTATAGACTAATATGTTGGGATACTGTTGGGAATAGAAATTACAAGAGATGGAGAGAGAGCTGATTTGAAATTTTTTGAAAATTTTGCTGTTTTTAAAAATTTTTTCAAAAAAATTAGCTATTTTTAGTAATTTTTTTCTAAATTTGCTATTTTTAGTAAACTTTTCAAAAATTTGCTATTTTTAGTAATTTTTTTCTAAATTTGCTAATTTTAGTAAACTTTTCAAAATTTGCTATTTTAGTAATTTTTTCAAAAATTTGCTATTTTTAGTAAATTTCTCAAAATATGGCTATTATAGTACGTAAGTACACTAACTAACGGAACGCACTTACTAACGATCGAACTAGCTAACGAACTAACGAACGAACGAACGAAACGAACTAACGAACTAACGAACGAACTACGAACGAACGAAGCTAATAACGATACGAACAAGAAGCACGAACGAACGAACGAACGCTAACGAACAACAAGAACGAACTAACGAACGAACTAACGAACGAACGAACGATACGAACGAACGAACGAACGAACTGAACGAACGAACTAACGAACTAACGAACGAACGTAACTAACCCGAACTGAACGAACGAATTCGAACGAACAACGAACAAACTAACCGAACTAACTAACTAACGACTAACTAACTAACTAACTAACTAACTAACTAACTACTAACTAACTACTAAACTACTAACTAACAACTAACTAACTAACTAACTAACTACTACTAACTAACTAACTACTACTAACTAACTAACTAACTAACTAACTACCTAACTAACTACTACTAACTAACTAACTAACTAACTAACTAACTAACTAACTAACTAATAACTAACTAACTAACTAACTAACTAACTAACTAACTAACTAACTAACTAACTACTAACTAACTAACTAACTAACTAACTACTAACTACTAACTAACTAACTAACTAACTACTAACTAACTAACTACTAACTAACTAACTACTAACTAACTACTAACTAACTAACTAACTAACTAACTAACTAACTAACTAACTAACTAACTAACTAACTAACTAACGAACTAACTAACTAACTAACTAACTAACTAACTAACTAACTAACTAACTAACTAACTAACTAACTAACTACTAACTAACTAACTAACTAACTAACTAACTACCTAACTAACTAACGAACTAACTAACTACTAACTAACTAACTAACTAACTAACTAACTACTACCTAACTAACTAAACTAACTAACTAACTAACTAACTAACTACTACTACTAACTACTAACTAACTAACTAACTAACTACTAACTACTAACTACTAACTACTAACTAACTAACTAACTAACTAACTAACTAACTACTAACTACTAACTACTAACTAACTAACTAACTAACTAACTAACTAACTAACTAAACTAACCTAAACTAACTAACTAACTAACTAACTAACTAACTAACTACCTAACTAACTAACTAACTAACTAATAACTAACTACAACTAACTAACTAACTAACTAACTAACTAACTAACTAACTAACGAACTAACTAACTAACTAACTAACTAACTAAAACTAACTAACTAACTAAAACTAACTAACTGAAAATTTTGCATTCTCTGCAATTTTCTGCAAAACTTATTTTCTCATTTAAAAACAAAACGTTCAAATGCAGTAGAAGTAAAATCCAAATTTAACATGTCCTTAGGCTAGACATAATCTAATATATCAAAAAACAGAACATAACAAAATAGTTGTTAAGAACATATAAATTTAATTTTCATCCTTTTATATTTATTTTTATGTTAAAGTTTTGCCTTAAGCATCCATTTAATTCAATTCAATTGAATTGAGTTCTTGTTTTTTTGTTCTCGTCATAAAATCTTCTTGATTTACTAGACTGTTGAGTAATCATTTTTTTTATTACATTTCTAGTTGTTGTTGCCGTTTGTACATAACTTAAATATTCTATGACCACCAACATCATTGCCTTAGTCCTTTCTCTTTTACATTCTGAATTCTAAATTATTTACACTTTCTATTTAATGTGTATATATTTGTATCCTTCCCTTTCACTGCTCGGTTGGTGTCTGTGTGTGTATTTAATTTTGGTTGTTTCATACAAATACATGAACATTTAGATTTTATGATCCTGTAATCAATATAAATTGCACTTAAATACACAAGATGGAAAAGTCATCCAAAGGCTCTCAAGTCATCCGATTATAAAATATAGTTAGTGGTCGTTTGTTGTACAACATAGTAAATAAAATTATTGAGACAGACAGTCTGAGTAAAACCTCCTCATTATAAGCCGTTAGATACTTAAGAGCAACAGTGTAATTTGCAAATGGTTTGTGAGTGAGTGAGTGCAAGTACAAGTATTTGTTGCTACACAAGGACATCAAATTTAATATGAGTACAATTTTGGAAATTGTGGTCTTAGTAAATATTAATTTGTCTTTTCGAAGCAAATCCTTGAATTATATACAGCTAGCACAAAAGTTCTTAAATATTCAAATCTGTACGAAGGACATACAAAAAGAGTTTTGTTTATTCTAATCAAATTTATAATTAAACACAATAACAAACTAAGCAGCAGAACAAGAACTTGTTCTAAAAGCTATGAAACAGAATTTTGTTATTTCATGAACTCATACATATTTATATTTTAGCTTTAAGCTCAAATGCTACTTTTATCAATTTAATTTAATTGTTTATTTTAATCCAAAAAAAAATGCAACAAATTGATTGATTTAATCAATCAACAATATTCAATATTTGTTCGAGTCTTTAAAAAAATATAACAAAAACAACTAAGAAATAAAAAAAAATATATTTTGTAATATATTCCACTAACTAAGCAAACATATTGTTGAGTCCCTGTTGAGAAACAACCACAATTTCACCAACAAAAGTACAACATAAAACTAAATTGCTAAAAGTTTCGTTTAACTCTAAGATAAGGGTCATATACAATCGCACACACACTCAGCTCAGAAATTTTTGCAAACAAGGATACTTAAAAACACACACACACTCAAATTCATAGTGAACAAATTATTAACAATTCTTATAGGAAAATACTCACACAGCAGTAAATTTTAAACAACTAAAACAAAAACTAGAATAGACTAGACTATAGATTCGGACATTAGACTATGAACTATAGACTAGACTATAGACTAGGACTATAGACCTCGATATAGACTAGACTATACGCTAGACTACTAGACTAGACTATAGACTAGACTATAGACTAGACTATAGACTAGACTATAGACTAGACTATAGACTAGACTATAGACTAGACTATAGACTAGACTATAGACTAGACTATAGACTAGACTATAGACTAGACTATAGACTAGACTATAGACTAGACTATAGACTAGACTATAGACTAGACTATAGACTAGACTATAGATAGACTATAGACTAGACTATAGACTAGACTATAGACTAGACTATAGAATAGACTATAGACTAGACTATAGACTAGACTATAGACTAGACTATAGACTAGACTATAGACTAGACTATAGACTAGACTATAGACTAGGACTATAGACTAGACTATAGACTAGACTAAGACTAGACTATAGACTAGACTATAGACTAGACTATAGACTAGACTATAGACTAGACTATAGACTAGACTATAGACTAGACTATAGACTAGACTATGACTAGACTATAGACTAGACTATAGACTAGCTATAGACTAGACTATAGACTAGACTATAGACTAGACTATAGACTAGACTATAGACTAGACTATAGACTAGACTATAGACTAGACTATAGACTAGACTATAGACTAGACTATAGACTAGATATACTAGACTATAACTAGACTATATACTAGACATAGACTAGACTATAGACTAGACTATAGACTAGACTATAGACTAGACTATAGACTAGACTATAGACTAGACTATAGACTAGACTATAGACTAGACTATAGACTAGACTATAGACTAGACTAGACTATAGACTAGACTAGACTATAGACTAGACTATAGACTAGACTATAGATAGACTATAGACTAGACTATAGACTAGACTATAGACTAGACTAGACTATAGACTAGACTAGACTATAGACTAGACTATAGACTAGACTATAGACTAGACTATAGACTAGACTAGACTATAGACTAGACTATAGACTAGACTATAGACTAGACTATAGACTAGACTATAGACTAGACTATAGACTAGACTATAGATAGACTATAGACTAGACTATAGACTAGACTATAGACTAGACTATAGACTAGACTATAGACTAGACTATAGACTAGACTATAGACTAGACTATAGACTAGACGATAGACTAGACTATAGACTAGACTATAGACTAGACTATAGACTAGGACTATAGACAAGACTATAGACTAGACTATAGACTAGACTATAGACTAGACTATAGACTAGACTATAGACTAGACTATAGACTAGACTATAGACTAGACTATAGACTAGACTATAGACTAGACTATAGACTAGACTATAGACTAGACTATAGACTAGACTATAGACTAGACTATAGACTAGACTATAGACTAGACATAGACTAGACTATAGACTAGACTATAGACTAGACTATAGACTAGACTATAGACTAGACTATAGACTAGACTATAGACTAGACTATAGACTAGACTATAGACTAGACAATAGACTAGACTATGGACTAGACTATAGACTAGAATAGACTAGACTATAGACTAGACTATAGACTAGACTATAGACTAGACTATAGACTAGACTATAGACTAGACTATAGACTAGACTATAGACTAGACTATAGCTGACTAGACTATAGACTAGAGACTAGACTATAGACTCGACTATAGAC